GGGGTTTGCCAGGTTCCTGAAACAATGTATCTCCCCCACCCCCCTCCCTCCCGCATGGTCTCTATCGTCATTTTGGCGTATATACATACACATTGAGCTTTTTAAACAGAGAAATTTAACACCTCGTTTTACGTCAATCTTTATTATGAATTAATACAGTGACATTGTGATTCAATTTCATGGATGCAAAGCATTAATTGTGATATCACATAATGTCTATATCATTATCTCGTGCTTTGAGTGCCCATCCTGTCCCACATCTGACGATAAAGGATAAAGCACACGCCCGAGAAACTTTTCTCATAAAAAGTGTTGATTTACAAAAAAATTTATGTAGCTGAGCTGGCCCCCCCCCCCCTGGATCCGCCCCTGTATAGTTCCTCATTTCATTAAACCAAGATAAATCTTGTATTAAGTGATCTGGCACAGTAGTAATAACTACACTTTCAAGCCAAACACTTCTCCATTAAACCAGGTTTTATCATCACCACTCGTCTACCTACATTTGTAACACTGGGATCCATCCTTGCTTTTACTGTAGTTTTGGTAACCCAACCTAGACCTATTCTAATATTCATCAAAGTAATAAGTAATCTTACCTATCAATTCTCATTTCTAAGGCAATACCCTTCCCAGCTTCATTTGGTAAGTGCTCTAATCTAATTATAGTATCTTTTAATGACAGTTTAACTCTTGATAACACTAGAAAGAAAAGAAAAGGAGATGCAATTAAGCTCATTAGACTATATGAAAACTAACACAAGGTACAATTTTATGGATACACAATTACTGAGTTTAATACTAAGCGACATTTCGACGAGGATACTCTCGTCTTTATCAAGCAAAAAATACAGATATGTTGTTGTTCTTAGTGTTTAACTGTGGGAGGAAACCCATGAGGTTGAGAAGGCACTCCTATCTCCAAGCCACATACGCTCACACCAGGGATCAAAACCACAACTGCAAGCCAGAGGTGACCGGCCAGCTAGAGGTCGAAGCGCGGCACTCTAGACTACTAGGCAATCCCAACCCCCCACAGATATGTGAATAGTAGACAAATATATATACAGAATATGCAACAACTATAACAATCAAATACAATTAAAACTTAACACCTTTGATTAGGGGGCCATTTATAACTACCCCAACACAGCAGAAACTATTCAAAGGGTTGGTGGTGGGGGGGAAGGAATCCTATTATTTGTGAAGATCAATGTATTAATACTATTAATGGGAAACCAAGTAACCTGAGCCACAGATAAACAATAATTTAAGAAAGAGAGAGAAATGGGGTTTAACATCCACTCGACACAAACTAGGTCATTTCGGGACTAACATATGGTTTTTAATTTTATTTCAACAACTCGCTTGCGCGTAGGGGTCTTTAGCAGTGGGAGGAAACCGGAGGACCTGGAGAAAACCCACGAGGTTGGACAGGCGACCCTACTCCTTGTCACGTACAACCGGGTATTCGAAACCACGCCAATCGACTCAATGACAGACTTTATGATACAGCGCGCGCACGCTAACCATTCAGCCATCCAACCCCACAAACAATAATTTAAAGAGAATGTGTTAATGGGATGGTGATGAGTGTATCTTGTGTTAATATGCTCAATTACTAAATGTCAATGAAAACTATTCTCATTAAAATAGAAATAAAAAATCCATGTTTTTTTTATAATTTTGATATTGAAAATATATGGAATAAATCAGTGCTTCTCAATTTGGTTCTATGATATCAAATAGGTCTGCAGGGGGTTTGCGGATAAAGGTACGGGTGTAAAATTGAGTATGAAAGCATGAAGGGTTTATCACTCTCTTTTCATTGATATTTATATACAATGGACTAATAATGTAATTTTGTATGTGGCCAAAATGCAAACTTCCTATAAATACTGCAACAACACTGTATTTAAATACTGATTAACTCAACACAGCAGCAGAGTAGAGCATTTACACAAAGTTTCACTCACTGCATAAATGTGACTGTAGAAAAATTATCAAACAAAAAATGGAAAACTTTAATTGGCAATAAGATGAAAAATATGGTCGAACAGAATTGTAGATAAACACTTCAGTCATCTGATACATAATTGGTAAACAAAAAGCATCGTCACGGTAACAAACCTTTCAAGAAACCCACCTGATTCAATGGTTTGTGCAAACATCTGAACTCCTTCAAATGGTTCTGAACTTGGAGAATTGTCAGTGGCAGATTTGTCTGATCTTATTACTTCCTCTGCTAGTTGTAGACTTGATGTCATGCTGCTGAACATTGAGGCAGTGTTCAGGAACATATCTAAAATAATTTTAAGAAGCAAAGCTAAAATCTAAAACATAACATATTCATTCTAATTGCTATAGAAAAGATTATGTTTAGTTGAAAATAATGAACACAGTGGTAACCAACAATACATATCAGAGTCAAAATTCCATTTACAGGGTACATTTTTTGGGTCAAATTAGTCATTTACGGTATGCATATAAAAATGGTCCAGATTTGTAACCATTTAAAAAAAACAAAATTCACTGAATAAGATATTCTGGATCACAAATTTATATGTACATGTATGGTATTGGCCAGCTGAAAACATGAAATTGCCAGAATTTTTACTCTGTTCTCTTGACTTACAGTACATCAAAATATTGTATTTTTTCACCTAAGCATATACTGACCTGTTTCATCATCACATTCTTTAAGTTGAATAGTTAATTCTAGTCTATTTATCTCCACTTCCATACTCTCAGCCAGTAAGGATGACCAGGGTATGGCCATAGATATGCTGCCAATAAACCCATCTATAATTTCGATGGGAGCATTAACACTCTCCAATGAGTCATTCAATGCCTAAAATCCAAAAGTCAAGATACTAAGTTCAGAAGAATTGTTTTAGAATCTGACAACTCCAAAGTAGATTGGTTCATGTACATGGTATAGTATTGTACAGTATTATACAGTGACAATAAGATTGTTCACTGATTCCATACAAGCATTGGCAAAGGGTGAAGCTGAATATGTTCGTGCAGAGCCTACATCAAAACTATGGGATATCTGTAATTACCTACAATTTCAGATCTGGTTTTCCTATTCATGCATGTATTTTCTTTGAATCAAATAATGTATCAAGTGTATGTAACAATAAAAACAAAGGTGTTTGACAACCTGTATGTGTAGGGGAGACAGGAGCACATTGAACCAGTTTTTTCACATGTATGGTATAGAGAGGGAGATCTTAGGTTTAACGTCCACTTGACACAAACTAGGTCATTTCAGGACTAACACATGGTTCAATTTTATTTCAATAATTCGATTGCGCGTAGGGGTCTTTAGCAGTGGGAGGAAACCAAAGGACCGGGAGAAAATCCACGAGGTTGGACAGGCGACTCTACTCCTTGTCACATACAACCGGGGGAATCGAAATTCAAAAACACCCCAGTTTGCTGACAAGCGGTTTTAGCCATGGAGATTCATTTGGCCCCTGTATGTCACAGTCAAGTTTCAAACACTGCTTCCGTCAAGTTTTAATTATATTCATTCAATAGGACACCAGACATTTAACATCTACTGTTTTTATTTTCAATAACATGACAAATTATTAAATGATATCATAGACTATAATGCACTGGGGTACGTTATACCAAGGTTCAAAGTACCCCATTGACAGTGGTTCAATCTGCCCCATCACAGTTTTATGATCAAAATTTCAAAACAATTCCAATATGGTTCCAGCTCTTGTTAATATAAGACATATATGAAATGATTGTAAGTACAAGAATTTCCTAGACTAAGCGGGTAACGGGTATGGAAAATATTAAGTTGAAACGGTGAATTTTCACCCCTCTTTTGAAAACTATCTGCGGATAACAAAAATAATTGAGAACACATTGTTTCTGCCTCAGTGACTTAGAAACAGGCATAAGAAATATCTCACTTCTGTGTAGCCTTGGGTTCCCTAATATTATTTCTTAAGGATATACCAGTGGTGGTTCAATGTACATGTACCGATATGCTCAATGTGCCCCAGTCTTCCCTACATGTTGGGTACAAATTGCCACCTTGCACAGATTAAAATTTTCACAAATTGTTTGGTATCAGATGATCAATCTGCTCGCCTCAAATAGAAACCTGTGCACAATATAAACCTAGGAATATCAGAAAAAAAGTATAGTTTTTATTGTACTTTTATACATCCACATTAAAATGTGCTCATATTGTTCGTCTGCTTCATCTATTGCTCATAAATAATATGGTAGGCCCACATCTTTTTAATCAGGGTTGCATTTTGGGTTGGGGTTACAGTTACAGACTTGTTACAGTGACCTAGTGTTTGATAGCCTAATACTTTGTACACAGTAAGGGTCATGTATATAAGGTACATACAAACTGCAATTGTTTGTTATTGAGCAAGGGTGGAGAAACTTTCATGTCACTCTGACATTTCACATTTTCAGACTAAAATACTGTTACATAATAATGTCGCTTGTGTCAATAACAAGAATTGTTCACTAAAAAATTACAAACGTTGTACAAAGACAAATCTGTTATGTTACCTCTACATCTAAATTTAGATCTTTTATTATGCCTCGACCACTGAACAAATCAACACTCAGCTGATCAAGGGACAACTTTTCCTTAAGAAAATGTCCGACATATCTTTGTAAAAGATATCTGCACGCTCTTTTCTTCCATGATTCAGGTATTGGTAAGTACCACGGCATTTTTACATGGGCGTTAATTGAAAATATAAAACATTTATCAGGAAACCTTTCTTATATCATATGAAACCAAAACAATACTGCGCCATATTTGTTTTGATTAAATTTCTATTTTTAGATATTATACAATCAGGGGAGATAATCTACGGAAAATTAAATGTAGTCGTGTTTGTCATAAATAACAATTATAATATAATTATATACGTCTGGTTATTCGAGAACGGCGAAAACACAATTTTTGGTGGAAGGGACACAACTACAATTTTTTAAATCTAATTTTTGTGATTTTTGCATTTGACTGCTCTTTTGAAATTGAAACAATTGCTTATTTGAATGAATTTTGATATTCTCTAAATCTAGAAACTGAAAGGCCAAAGGGAACAGGCAAACTATAAAACTTTACAATGGTAAATACACTACGATAGATCTAAACTGATGAAAAAAGTTACACTCTTAGAATTAAGTCTTCATCATTTGGCATTTCTTTTGGTTTTATTTTCTTTCTTGCTGATCAATAAACATGATTGCACCATAAAAGCACATATGATATATGACCATAAATCCACGCTACCTCCCAACCCAAAGAACGGGATAATTAATCTACCAAACTGATGTGACTATATCCCACTCATTTTCAAATGGTATAACAATATAGCCATGCCATGTTGGACACTCCAGTTCTCATCCGATAACTGAAGTTAAGCAACATCAGACTGGGTAGGCCTACTTGGATGGGTTACTGGCTTGGAACACCGGTGCTGTAGACTCTCCTTTTAAAACGAGAGACACTAGTTGCTTCCCACTTCCATTTACTGAGAAATTTGCTACCTAACCTTGATAGCAGAATCATCCACCAATAGACGTATTACAGAGCTTCAATTAGATTAATCTAGACAATTAGATTAAAAACCTTTCAACCTTTTGGGATCAAGGACAAAATCTAAACTTAGAAATCCCCATTTTTATTTCATTTTGATATATCAAGAACCTTACTATTTATCTTTAAATAGATTAAGAATATAACTTTGTTTTGATATTTTCTTGTAGAATCTTACAGTTTAAAAGATGTTGAAGTTGTTACCATCAGATGTTCAGTCAAGATTAAGATCTGATATTGCTATAACTAGTGTAGCACAATGTGTAGAAGAACTGGTATTAAATTCACTAGATGCTGGAGCTGTATGCATTGCTATACGTGTAGATATGACATGTTATACAGTACAGATTGTTGACAATGGAGTGGGTATTTCAAAGGATGATTTAAAGTTAGTTGGTCGAAGGTCAGTATTAAATATTTCAGAACAGTTATAGTTCACATAAGATTTTAGAATAGTGATCATACTCGGTCATTTAACTACCGAAATGTATAAGCAAATCATACGTTTATATGAGTATTACCAGTACATCAGAAGAGAGGACAAATTTGAATCAGTATACATACATGTATGTACATTAAAAATATGTCCATGTTACAAATATACAGATTTTGTCAAGCAATTGTTTTGTGTCAGTTTGTCAGTTAAAACTATTGAAAAATATAATGTGAAACAAGAAGTACCCCAAACCCCAATAATTTGTTTTGATTAAAGAGTTATTCCCCTTGAGTCTGCATATTGAGCTGCCAATATATGGGGACACTTGATTAAACATTTGGAAATTGAACTGAGGAAAGATCAAGGCACATCGTTCATCAGAGATATGGTTGATCTGGATAATCTAGTTTATTAGGTCTGGAAATAATGATATTAGTTGTATCTGACAAAATGGCAGGCACTAATGAACATGTGCCAGACATAATTATTATAAATATCAATTAGAAAATAGAACAGACAATAAATCTGTGCTAGACACAATGACATACACCCAAGGTCAAGGAGGTATGCCTGACAAAGTCTAAATTTATGCCTAACATTATCCGATAGGTGCCTTATGTGGACTATTACTTTCAAACTGTTATGATTTATGTTGCAGGTATTCCACAAGTAAATGTCACAAATTAGAAGATTTAGATAATCTGGAATATTTTGGATATCGAGGAGAAGCTTTAGCCAGTTTACGAGATATTTCTACAGCCTTAGAGATACATTCCCGCTCACGACAATCTTCAATCACCTACTGTAAACTTTTCAAACATGGCAAAGGTGTGGATGTTGTGGACTCCAAATATCCACGACCTTGTCCCGGAACCACAATCACCGTCCATAACCTTTTTTATAATCTACCTGTCAGACAGCTAAACATCATTGATGGCTTAGAATTAGAAAGGATACGGTATAGAGTGGAGGGTATTGCTTTAATGAACCCAAGTATAAGTTTCAGTTTAAGAAATGATGCAACGGGTCATGTTCTGTTGCAGACGCAGAAAAGTAACAGCGTTTTAACAGCTTTTATGTACCTATTTGGTGGTGGACTATCTAAATTTTTGAAACCTGTAGCATTGACGAAAGATTGTTTCAGACTTGAAGGTTATATAAGTAAGGATGGCCATAATAAAAAGAATCTTCAATTTGTTTATGTTAATGGCCGTCTGGTTCTCAAGACGAAAGTACATAAAATGGTAACCAAAGCCATGTCCAATTGTCTTTTATTCAGAAAGAAAAGAGGAGAATGGAAGAATAATGGAACCCCAATTAAAAGTCCACTTAAATATGGAGATAAATATTCTATCTTTGTCATTAATGTAAAGTGTCCTTATAATTCCTACGATATCACCTTTGACCCCCGAAAAACTTTAGTGGAATTTAAAGACTGGGACACGTTAACTAATGCCGTCGATGAGTTGGTTATGAATTTTTTAAAGGCTGAAAATCTACTAAGCACTATTGTGAAATCTGTAGATATCCCTGAAAATACCAATATGTCAAACTCTGAAGAAAACACACCTTTTACACCTGATGATAATGAGATATCAAAAATGCAGATTGAGGATAAGGATGAAAATAAGCGTAGTGAAGATCTCGAAATAAGCACATATAATACTAATAATAGTTTGTTTTCAAAAACTGTTCAAAGGCAGCCTGTTGCTAGTAGCAGCAGGGACAGAACTGAAACCAATATGGAAGAAGTAAACGATCAACCATTAGTGGAGGTTAATAATAATGTAAACGTGTCAGTTATAGAATCAAACAGTCAGACAGCATTAGAAGAGGCTGCAGATAAACTTCAACTGCAAATTACACCATGCGATAAAGAATTTACATCCGAAGATGAGATTCCAATATCAGCTGGTAACAAAGAAACATATTACAGAAATGTGAAGTCTAGTTCATCCAGTACTCTTACTAACACCACCTCTGATAATGACAGTGAAGATGATTTAAACGAACAGTCAGAAGATCCACTACCAAATAAGGTCTTAAATGAAACCAGAAGAAGTGAAAAATCAACTAAAACTCAAAAAAACGATTTAAAGGAAGACAAATGTAAATTTATATCTCTTCCCACCAAAAACGTAGCTGCAGAGTCGGCCATAAGGAAACTAAGACCCAACACAACACCAAATAATGATGATGTACATGTAAAACTCACTGCTGCTCAAAAGATAAGTGCTAAGTTGAAGGAAAGACATCAGATAACATTGATCCAAGATGAACGTCAGCAAAAAATATCCAGTTCTTTAGATAAATTCAGGAAAAGAAACAAATTGAACCAGACAACTGTAACCACAGAACTAGAAGAGGGAAGAGATGCGAATTCGAATGGCCTATTAAAGGAACCAGCATTCAATGCACCAAGGAAAAACACTGTCAGATGTGACCAATGTACTAATAAATTAGTGACTTGTGCTTCTTTTGGAGGTTTATTTGGTCGACAAATAGATAGTGGAAACTTGCAAACTAATGGAGAATTGCATACCACAAATTTTAACAACAACTTTTGTCATAGCGAAGCAGGTTATATTAATAAAACAAAAAGTTCTTTGAGTAAGCGAACAAATCTTGCTGCAGCAGATGGATCCTCTGTGCCTAAAAAGTCAAAATTTATGACATCCGAATCATTTGTGATGACACCAAGGACAGCATTTATTCAAGTGCGTTCACTGCTTAAAAAAATGGAGTCTGGAGACAGTTCAACAGAATCTGATCAGCCCCAACAGATGCTTTCTTCTCAGGTACCTTCTTATTCATCTCAAACCCATGAAAACCTGCAACCAAATGCTGCTTCAACTTCATATGTAAGCATTGAAGAATCTTCATTATTGAAAAGCAGTACCAGTAAAGACAATGACAGAAATTTCAAAGTGCCTTTGCCAGTTTTTGATCACAGCATGCGGAACGCCTTTACCTCCTTCAGAGCTACCTCAGACAAAGCTATTAATCTTTTGACTACCTGTTCAAGCAAGCCTGTTGAGGAGAAAAACCAGAGTATTTCTCAGTCATTCACCTCATGCTCGGATTGTGATTTGACTATAGAAACAGAGAAAAATGATATTAAATCATCTCAAGGTTTTGAAGCACACGTTTTTGAAGAGGTCCAGACAGAGAATGACATTGACAGGCTCCAAAATTATGAGAGCCAATGTTTTAGTTTTGGAATTGTCAAGGAGAGTCAAAAAGAGAAGAGTATTTTAATGAGCGATACTGAAAAACAAGATGGCTACTCAATGCCGTCTGCTACTGAACAGTCATTTTCCACTATTTTAGAAGAAAATCTGAGTTCTACTAATGTTGATCAAGTGTTATTGACAGATCATGTACAAAGTAGTCTTGAAAGAGAGAGTACCAGTATACCATGTGGACAAATAGAAACGTTTCCATTACAGACAGATTCTTACTCCATAACAGACATATTATCAGATATTTCGGACAAATCTCCCAAAAACCAATGTGAACTGGATAACAGTAAGACTTTACCTACCAACGACAGAGCTAATAAATCTAAACAGGATGTTCTTGAACCAAATGTTGTGGAACAGAAAACGACTGAATCCCTTGAAGAGAAAGTTACCATGTGTAGGTCTGATGATTTAGGAAATAATATGACAGTGGGTGGTGAAATTAAAGAAATTAAAGATTTAGATGTTGAAATGTCAAACAGTGAGGGAAATACTTTACAACTGATAGCAAGTGATGTAGAATATATTCAAACATTGTGGATTGAAATGAAAGATGATAATACAGGTTATTGTATTTACTTATTACCTTTCTTTTTGTTTCATCTGTACTATAGATTGTTTTGCTATACTTTGACAATATTTTGAAAGCACTCTTTACGAGCACTATCACCTTATTAAACATACATTATGCAATTTTCAAATTATTCATTTTGCATTATCTATTTTCAAACTATTATAGCAAGAATGGCTAGCTCTTTATCTAAATCTTACATAATGTATCTTTAACCTTTGCTACACTTATTATGGAAACAGAATTTCTGTGGATACTTGATGTTACAGTCACCTCATTATTTAAACTCGCTAATTTCACTGCTAATTGTCACTCAAATTAATATAGACTATACATATTCAAAAGCTAGCTCTATGCCAGTTCAAATGAGGATTTAAGGTCCACCCGACACAAACTAGGTCATTTTGGGACTAACATAAGGTTCAATTTTATTTCAATAATTTGCTTGCGCGTAGGGGTCTTTAGCAGTGGGAGGAAACCGGAGGACTTGGAGAAAACCGACGAGGTTGGACAGACGCACCTACTCCTTGTCACAACAACCGGGAATTGAAACCATGCCAGTTGACTCAAGATGATTTATAACAGTTTTAATTGAATCTTGAGGTAGAAAGATCAGAGGTTATATATTAATTAATCTATGGCTTTTGAAATGAATCTTTGGATGTCTGCTATAAATGCAGATTGGATGACATTTGTACATTTACATTTTTATTGTGTAATTGAAGGGGAGATAATTATTTGACATCAACTAGAATTTATCAAATACATTTTAGGTAAACAGATCTATGTTAATCGTCACACTGGAAATTCTATTTATGAAACAGAATGGAAGAAATTACAAAAAAATATAACAAAAGAAGGTACAATAAAAATTGTTTTATATGCTTAAATGAAATGAGCACTGACTGGGCTAATGAACATGGGCATACACCATACAGTGCCCGGACAGCGGCACTATTGCCAGTATGTACATGAGACCTTGGTTTTTTGGTTTTGAATCCCCGGTTGTACGTGGCAAGGAGTAGGGTCGCCTGTCCAACCTCGTGGGTTTTCTCCGGTTTCCTCCCACTGCTAAAGACCCCTACGCGCAAGCGAATTATGTAAATAAAGTTAAACAATATGTTAGTCCCGAAATGACCTAGTTTGTGTCGAGTGGACGTTAAACCCCATTTCTCTCTCTCCCCTTGGTTTTTTGTCCTATCAAGGGGAGCCACGGTGGCTCATTGAGTAAGAGGTTAGCTTGCTAACCTGGCGGTTCTGTGTTCAATGCCTGAGTTGACCACCAAAAAAGTTCATCTGGATTTTCCGGCATGCTTTCTTCTTGGCAGTGGTGCAAGATTCAGTCCCTAGAAAGGGACAACATTTAGTCGTTTGGATGGGACCAAACAATGAGGTTCTGTGTATGTATATATTGTTATGCACTTAAAAGAACACTTGGCAGTTGGTAAGAGATATAAGAGTAGGCAGTAGCGCCACTGTTCGAGAAAAAAATTCCCTCATAGCACACTGTATGCTGTATGCCCATCTTCATTAGTCCAGTCAGAGAAGAACTGCACCTACTGGCAAGGGGAAACCATGCTCATAAGGTCTTTCATTGAGTCAGCTGGTGTGGTTTCGATTCCCCGGTTGTACATGACAACGAGTAGGGTTGCCTGTCCAACCTCGTGGGTCCTCCAGTTTCCCTCCACTGCTTTAGAACCCTACGCTTAAGCGAATTATTGAAATAAAATTGAACCATGTGTTAGTCCCCAGATGACCTAGTTTGTGTCGAGTGGAAGTTAAACCCCATTTTCTCTCTCTCTCTCTCGGAAACCATGCTGGAAAATTCTTTGAAAAGGTTTAGATAGTTACTATAGTATACTGGGAATGCTTTTTTAATTTTATGCATAGAGGTTTTGGTTCTTTCATTCTTCATGTATTTAAATATTTTTAGAAAATAACAAACCTAAGGACAAGATAACTGAGACAAAGGAGTCTGTATTAAGCTTAGATATAAATGAGAGTGAGAAACTACAGGATATGATAACACAACATTTTGATGACAGTGAAGACAAGTTTATAAAATGGAGAAGTAAAACATCAGACGACAGTTCTGTTGATCCAGGTAAATATTTCATACCATCCAAATGTATTGGTGCCTTTTCATTCCACCACTGAAATGGGGAAACCAGACTGATAAATCATGAATGACCTGCTCTGCCAACACGAGGATTGAAACCTGTTGCCCATTTAAAAATTTCATGCAACACTTAAAGGTGGCACTGGCTTGTTTATTTCATCTACAACTAGTACAACAGATGCCAAATGTTGCGATATCTTTTATTCATTAATGAATTCAACCGGTTTTGCACTGATACTCCTTTCAAAGATTGCACTGTCAGAATACTGTAGCAGGCAAGGGATCAAAAATTCCTCAAATAATGATTGGTGACTTTACGAAAGATTAAATTTTATTATCGATACAAAACATTAAAATAATCTTTTAGTTATTTTTTTTTCTCTTTTGTTTGAAATTGAGATTTGTTCTGTCAAAATATTTATGGTTATTAGTGTAATTTTGAAAGAAACAAACCTGTTTTTTATTTCAGGAAAAACAAGTGTTAATGACATGTTTGAATCATGGGAGAATCCAATTTGTGAAAGAGTTGTTCAGGTTTGTTGTATTTACCTCCCCTGATATATTCTTTAACAAAATATATTACTATAATTCATGATACTTTCCCAAGTGAAAACTATTTTGGCAAAAAAGACACATATTTTTTTTTTTGCATACACTGTCTGTTTTGTTAATTTCAGTCAACCGTAAATGCTGAAGTACAACATACAAGTAGACCAGGATTAAAATCCTATCAGTCTTTACATCAGATTATATTTACTAAAGATATGTTATCTTGTATGGAGGTATGATATAATATAATAGTCTATTTGCTAAAGATATGTTATCTTGTATAGAGGTAGTATATATACTATAGAGGTAGTATATATATATGTTATCTTGTATAGAGGTATGATATACTAAAGATATGTTATCTTGTATAGAGGTAGTATATATACTATAGAGGTAGTATATATATATGTTATCTTGTATAGAGGTATGATATACTAAAGATATGTTATCTTGTATGGAGGTATGATATAATATAATAGTCTATTTGCTAAAGATATGTTATCTTGTATAGAGGTAGTATATATACTATAGAGGTAGTATATATATATGTTATCTTGTATAGAGGTATGATATACTAAAGATATGTTATCTTGTATAGAGGTAGTATATATACTATAGAGGTAGTATATATATATGTTATCTTGTATAGAGGTATGATATACTAAAGATATGTTATCTTGTATGGAGGTATGATATAATTTAATAGTCTATTTACCAAAGATATGTTATCGTGTATAGAGGTAGAATATATACTGAATGTATTAATGGTATAATAGTATATTTACTAAAGATATGTTATCTTGTATAGAGGTAGGATATACTAAATATATGTTATCTTGTATGGAGGTATGATATAATAAAATAGTCTATTTACTAAAGATATGTTATCTTGTATAGAGGTAGTATATATACTTAATGTATTAATGGTATAATAATATATTTACTAAAGATATGTTATCTTGTATAGAGGTAGTATATAATTACTCTATTTTAATATAATTAAAATTATATAATAGTCATTTTGATTAATTGAAATGGATTCCTTCCACATACAAATATCCAAATTGTTGTTAAATTGTAGAAAATTTATGATTAGAAATATAGGAATCTAATCCAGCCTACATCGAAGGCTAGCCTTGACATCGAGAGTTTATTATGGTCTGGATAAGTTAATTAATGTCTAATTGATAATTTAGATAACATTTCAGGCCTAAAGAAAGATTTGTTATAAGCAGATTTTGCTCTTGCATAATGCATGTTTAAGTAATAGAGATATATATTTGAAATGAGAGGACGAGTTTATTTTTATCTACGTTTACTTATATTGTTAATTAGATTAATTATTATTATCAGGTATTAGGACAAGTTGATATCAAGTTTATAGCATGTTTAATATCTACACCTAGTAATACATCTGCAACAAGTAAGTTACTTTATTTGATGATCAGTAGTGGAATACCGCGTTTTATCAGTGAAATAAAAGTGTTATTCCAGTGGCTAGCAGTAGTCCATGTTGTTTTTACCTAAAATGATTGTAAAATCATAAAATAAATAGAACATTTGTCGTTTTGTCGTGAATAACATATTTTATTTCATCTCGAAGCAAGAAAACGTTTATATTTTCACTCATGTTACGCATTCGTGAAAATATAAGTTTGCTTGCTTCTCGATGAAATAAAATATGTTATTCACTCTAAAACGACAAATATCCTCAATATATTAAACCTTTTCAAAATATATATTGATTTTATTACAAATTTGTTATGGCTTAATACACACTGATCATGTAATCAGATTGATTATTTAACATTCAATTAAGAAAACAAAATAAAAATACCAAAATTGGATAACCTCCCGACTTGGATTCAGTCAGATCTAAACTGGGCCCATCGAGTTTCTCTGCTACCAATAAAAGATGTAAGCATCTCGTTACTCTCAAGCAGCATAGATCAATGAAAATACAATTGATCATAACCTTGTGAATATATAACGGAATTTAACAATTTTTGGACTGATATTCCTATTAGAAATTAAAGTTACAATTTCATATTTTCTAAGAAAGTCAAAACATAATTAGTTCTATGTCTTTTGCTCAATAGGTTGTCAACTCACTATTATACGATCATAGGTTATCTTTCTCACACTTAAAAATCTTCACACTGGAAATAATAACGCAATTACCTCCCAATTACCTCCCTTGTTTTCCTATTCCCCACCATGGAATAGCTATCTTCAAACGTTTGAATTTGAAGTTGAAAATATGATATTTTTGCCAATTTCTCAACTGGCAATAGTGAATTATAGGATTAATAGGATTATTCTTTAACAAGATAGGACTGTTTATAGATACCATCTATTTTAGGGCTTTATTTTAATACATTTTAAATATATAACTTAAAAATATGAAATTGTAACTTTAAACTTTTACAATATTGTAGTTTACATGAGATTCCTATCGTCCTAAATGATGCATCAAGTCTTTAAATTCCAATTATCAGTGTTTACCTTTTTTTAATATATTAAGAAGGATGTCTATTAGTCTAGTTTATCAATTTCAGAAAATAGAAACTCTGTCTAAGTTCAAATTTTTTGACTGCCAATCACTATGTTATTTCATCTGTTTTTGTTAAATTGATCACTGTCTATGGTACAATATGTAATGTTTGACTTTTATTTCAGCCCCTAATCTATTAGTTATGATGGATCAACATGCTGCTCATGAACGAGTTCGCTTAGAACAATTTACGGCAGGTTGGTATATTTATTAGTATGTTATCAGTCTTGGATTATTTAATAAAATGAAATGGGATTTAGCATCCAACTTTTCTGTTCTGACTGGGATAATAAAGAAGGGCATACGCCATACAGTGTGCGATACGGCCTACTATTATTTTGAATTTCAACTATCAAGGGGGTAAGGCGCTGGCTCGCTAGCCTGGAGGTCGAGTGTTCGATCCCTGCATTGGCCGAGAAAGTTCATCCAGATTTTCCGGCGTGGTTCCCCCTTGTCAGTGATGCAGGACGGAGGGCCTGACAAGGACAGCTGTCTAGTCATTCGGATGAGACGAAAAACCGAGGTCCCGTGTACACATTGGCGTGCACGTAAAAGATCCCTTGACAGTTGGAATTCGATATAAGAGTAGGCTGTAGTGCCGCTGTTCGGGCAAAATTACCCTCATAGCACACTGTATGGCGTATGCCCGTCTTCATTAGCCCAGTTCGGAGCAAAACAGTAGGACGTTAAACCCCATTTCATTTCATTTTTTTCAACTATCAAGGGTTCTTTTACATGCATGCCAATGTGTACATGGGACCTCAGTTTTTAGTCATATCTGAATGACTAGACACTGTTCCTTATCAGACCCTCAGTAATGTACCACTGACAAGGGGATACCATGCCAGAAAGGATTATTTGATTAATTAAATGTAAAATAGTAGGTAGGTTCTGTACTTTTAAAACATTTAGGGGATATTTGATTAAACATTCCGAAATTGAATTCTCACAATTCCAAATATAGTGACAATCGAGTGAAATGGGGGATTTCGGGTTACAACGCATGTGCGGGCTGCATCAGAAAATATTTCAACCTACCATGACAGCTGAAATATTCATTGTGTTTGATTACATCACGATCGTACTCACACCATTTCAGTTGTCTGAAAATGTGTAGTATAGATTATAGAATTATTTGAAGATGATGTTGAGATATTTTGTATGTGTATTATAGAATTATTTGAAGATGATGTTGAGATATTTTGTATATTTGAAGATGATGTTGAGATATTTTGTATATGTATTATAGAATTATTTGAAGATGATGATTGTGATGTAATAAAGAGATCAGATGTAACACCACCTATATCTCTAGATCTGACACCAGAAATAGTACGAGTAGTTAACTCATTTCAACAGGAATTCCAACGAATAGGTGAGGCAGAGAAATTATCAAATAAAACATATAATATTGGTCTTCCTGGAAATAAAACATATAATATTGGTATTCCTGGAAATATTGAGTTTAATAATTAAAACTGGTGTGAAGGAATGTATGTTTAATTAATTGGATCAAATAGGAAAATAAGGGACCCTGTAATGTGTGCACATTGCTAACTTTTAGAAAATGATATACCTGGGCAAAGGTGTGAACCCTATATATTTGTGCGTATAAAGTTCACATGTAATATACTCTTGTAGGTATAAAGATCAGGTATAATATATTTTGGAGGCATAAAGTTCACATGTAATATATTTTTGTAGGTATAAAGATCAGGTATAATATATTTTTGGAGGTGTAAAGTTCACATATAATATATATTTTAGTGGTTATAAAGTTCACATGTAATATATTTTTGGAGGTATAAAGTTCACATGTGATATAGTGATATATTTTAGTGGGTATAAAATCCACATGTAAGATATTTTTGCAGGTATAAAATTCACATGTAATATATTTTTGTAGGTATAAAATTCTCAGGTAATGACAAGAATAGAAATCAGATAAAGCTACATACGATACCTGCTTGTATAGTTGAAAGAGAGGCTAACGAACTCAAGAGAGGTAAAAGATCAATAGCTACAGAATTTGTTCAGGTATTGTTGTATTTTAGGAATAATATTAACACACCTGCTATTCCTGTGGGGAGTATATTGTCATCATTCCCATCCCTCGGTCTACTTACTGATAAATGCTCAATATCAGGTAGTTTACAAGATATTTTTTAACAAAAAGTTCCTGGAATTGATCAAAATTCAGATTTTTATGATGTTATGAGATATTGTAATGTCTGATACCTTGTAAATGCTCCACATACCATAGTTGCATAGATTTCTTTTATAAATTTCCTGGTGGGTATGGCTTCCCTTGCAATGGTGCTGGTAGGCATTTGTTTGTTGTTTGGGGAATGCAATGTTTTATTTTGATCTTTCATTGGGAATGGGAGCTTAATTACCCTATTTCCTACCATTGACCCCTTTAGACCCAATTCTGGCCGGTTTCTTTCTAAATGGATTAAGAACCCTGCATTGAACTAAGATTAATGCACTAATTCATTTCATATATACAATTAATATCATGTCTTTAATAAAAAAGGCTGTAATATTTCCTCAATCTCCACTGAATTGTAGCGAGTTTAACCAGCTAAAAAGTAATAAGACGACCAATTTTTATTTCATAATTCCAATAAAGTTGCAATATTTCAGGGGGGTTGGATGGCTGAATGGTTAGCACGTGTGCGCTGTACCATAAAGTCTGTCATTGAGTCAACTGGCGTGGTTTCGATTCCCCGGTTGTACGTGACAAGGAGTAGGGTCGCCTGTCCAACCTTGTGGGTTTTCTCCGGGTCCTCCGGTTTCCTCCCACTGTTAAAGACCGCTACGCGCAAGCGAATTAATGAAATAAAATTAAACCATATGTTAGTCCTGAAATGACCTAGTTTGTGCCGAATGGACCTTAAACCCCATTTCTCTCTCTCTCTCTGTGCAATATTTCAAAGTTCTGGTGTGGGTTTAGCTAATGTTATTGTCAATACAACATAGACAGTATGTACCTGATTATCCAGACCAAAGTTGCTCAACTTATTATTTACATTCTATTTTTCAGGAACTCATCTCTGAGCATGTTGAGGTTTGTTTATTTATGTTTTTATTTTGAATACAAATTCATGTAAACTGAAAGTGAGGAGTTAAGTTGATAATTGATGTAAATTCTATCGATTTAGTGAAATAATATAGAAATTGTTCATATATGGCAAAAAAACTATACACTCATGTTTAATTTAGATATGCAACATGAAAACAAATGGAGTAGACATTTGGTAATAATGATAATAAAGTTATTTATATAGCACCTATTCCATGCCGAGGTGTGCTCTTAGTGCTTCTAGTGTCATTCGGGATAAGCTTGTTGAAACAGGTGTGTTTTTAACTTTTTCCTAAAGTTAAGTAATGTTTTGGCACTTTTGATAGAAATGATCAAGTGTTTGTCATTCCACAAAGTTGGAGCAGCAATACTAAACATTCGATCACCATAGGTAACTAGGTTTGATGCAGGCAATTTTAGGATCTCTTTACTCGTCGATCGTCTATGACGTTCAGAATCTTGCCGTTTTATGAGATCAGTAAGATAGTCTGAGGCAACATTATTTATGCATTTATAGACCATACATAGAATTTTGAATTTTATGCAGTATTCAATAGGGAGCCAAGTGTAGTGACTTTAGAACCGGTTTGATGTGAGCAGATTTCAGAGTTTTGTAATTTGTCTCTTCTTCAGTCTGTTAACCTGGTAGCTAGGTAGGCCAGAGTTGTAAACAAACAATACCCCTCTGATGCAAGTCTATTTATAGTAATGTTTACGATTCCAAATATTGAGAACAATATAAAATCAATATCAGTGAAGATATCTGAACTATACGAAAGTACATCATTAATAAATGTCATAAAAGTAAATGAATTAAAGATACATTATGGGAGATTAGATAAAGAGATGGCAGTTCTCTATATAATAGTTAAAAACTAGACAATGTAAAGGCGATTTGCTGAAAATTTCAGTCAAATTTATCCACTCTAAACAAAGATTTTAGCGACTGAATTTTCGACCTAGCCTTGCTCATCATTACCAAATTCGGTAGGATAAAAAACATAGTCTCGATTATCCATTTCGTGATTAAATCATGAATGAAAGTTGAGCAGCAAATCGGATCCTAATCCAGTAAATATCGCTGGCTAGCGATGCCATCGAGAGTTGATTATGGTCTGGATAAGTTAATTAATGTCTAATTAATAATTTATATAACATTTCAGGCCTAAACAAAGACCTGCAATAGGCAGATTTAGCTCTTGCATAATGTATGTTTAATAAATGTCATAAAAGTAAATGAATTAAATTATTACATGTATAATTATAGTATCTACAGAATACAAGTGGTGCTAGAAGAAGGTTACCTCTTGCTCTACATAAAATACTAGCTACAAAAGCTTGTAAAGGTAGATCAGTACTGTTGTTGTATATTTTCTCCAAATATAAAAAAAATTAAATCTAACTTATCTATTTGACGTTTTTACTCCGTGGGAACTACGGTGGCTCAGTGGGTTAGACCGCTGGCTTGCTAATCTGGAGGTGACAGGCCGAGAAAGTTCCTCAGCGTTGTTTCCCCTTGTCAGTGGTCCAGGAAGAAGACCTGGCAAGGAACAGTGTCTAGTTGTTAGGTTGGGACAAAAAGCCAAGGCCCAGTGTACATATTGGTTGGGTTAATGTCCTACTTGTCTGCACCAACCGGAATAATAAAGATGGCCAAGGGTCTTTTATGTACATGTATATGTACAGGTGGACCTCGATTTTTTTTTATCCCATCTGAAGGACTAGACACCTATGCCCTTCTTACTACACCACTGACAAGGAGAAACCAGGAATGGTTAGTGAGCCAGCACCATACTCAATAGGCCACCATGGCTCCATAAAGTTAAAGCACATCTATAGCAAAATTAATGATTTTCTTTGGAAAATGTTTTTTAAAGTATTATTTAATTTTCAGGTGCTATTAAATTTAATGATAATTTATCTAAAAGACAATGTCAGGAGTTAATTACAGCTCTGTCTAAATGTGATTTACCATTTCAATGTGCTCATGGTCGTCCATCAGTTATACCACTATTTGAGTTAGATCAGCATTATAAACATAATAATCAGGTTAGTCTAATGACTGAAAAAAATTGTCTACCATAAAAACAATAGATATACATTGTCCGTCAATTTTACAGCACCCCTGAGAACACTTGACACCAACCCCCCCCTCGTTGCTCTGAGCTAGTTACTACCCTGCACAAACCCCATTTCTCTCCCTTTCCCTGGGTGCACTATTTCTATTTATTTGTATCTTCATTTTTATACGCCCATATTGTGATGGTGATAGAGGCTACAGTATTTAACATTTTTTTTCTAATTCAATGTGAGGCATTGGAATATTATTGATTTTCCTAGTTCTCCGTCCATCTTTTGCACAGTGTGGGCGTATCTTGCATGGTAATGGCTTGTCATTGTATTATAATGTAGTTTATATATGGAGTAGCTTAGTTTTTTTTAACACTGCTTCCACAAAAGTGATATCACAGACAAGACTTAGGGGAGACGAAAATATGATTTTTCAATCTTTCCATTTGCATCATCTGGCCATGGATTGGTTTAGTGGGAAGTTCTCCCCTTTATTAATAAAAAACATAGCATTTACTCTGATCATACTATTCGGGTTTGTGTGTTTGAAATATCTTTATATAAGGTCCGCTTCCACCAAAGTGATATTGCCGACAATTCAGGTTTCGTAGATTTCTTCTTAGTAGACTAGTTTGACCCTCTCCACTATCCTACTTTGGTTTAGTGGAAACATCTTTACTTTATTAATAAGAAACATAGCTTTTGGTAGTGGATTATTTGAAGGATGTATCTTACTTTGGCATCCCTCATGTCACTACATGTATTTCAATTATAGTATAGATTATATATATAAGATAATATACATGTATAATATACTAATCAATCGTTATCAGATTGTTTACACCTGTACCAGGTGATTAATTAACCTAATTTATTCATTGATAACTAATTATTACCTGTTGTGGGTGGATATAAACAATAGACCATAGTTGTAGGTTGTGTATCAACAAATATAAATTTACTACCGTTATAGTATAAATTGTTTATTATTGTAGGTAAAACCACGCCCTAGACTTGACAATCTGATGAAAGGTATTAACCTGACTACCCAGTAAAGAATTCTGATACAATTTAACCAATACAAGTGATAAATAGAGAGAGGTGTATTAAATTTGGTGGAATAAAGATTGATATTATTTGCAATCTGGCAACAAACTACTTAAATAAGATTAAAACATAGATATGACGTCACCCTTTGATGTTTTTAACTAGTATATAGGAGAATGTACGCTTTTCTTAAACAATCGTCTATTATTTATAAAACTGTCCATTATTTATTGAAAATAATGGACATGTTTACCAATAAAAGAGACTTATCTGAAAAATGAACATGTATTTTGGGATAATTCTCTGAACAAATTAAATTACAGAACATGAAATTACTTTAAAACCTCATAGTTACCGAAATGTCACATGACCGAATGTTGATTTTACGTGTTTGTCGACATAAAGAATTCCACTTAAATCCGTCCGTTATATGTCACACTTTCGTTTAATAGTACGTTCGGCACTATATCGGTGATACGTTTGTATACGCCCACATTTTCACATTTTCTTTGTGGACACTTTACAGGTCATAACTTGAAATATAGGTATATAAACTGAACCATGTGTGTTTATAACCCAAAGATCAAATATCGAGTACATTACCAATGTAATGAGTATCCAAATGCTTATCACATATATTCTCATTATTAATATTTGTTTTCGACTGTGTTACTGTTATAAACATGTCATCTCCATGTCGAATATTTTGGACTGTCTGTGTATGCTTGCATTGTATGACTGGAGTGTTTTGTCACATGCATTCATGAACATGTGCATATATCCATTATTTTGTGGCTTGTTCTTTTAGAAAACTATACAGTACTTGTATCTCTATGATGCTAATGCCCCTCAGTTGTTCTTTCTATTTACATAATGGACAGTCTTCGATCATTATCTATCACTTACAATTTCATTATAGAATTTCAAAATGTCCAGATCGTAGCAAATCCAATTCAACAGGTTGCTGATATTACCATTCTTAAAGTCCAAACATCACAATATTCGACCGGAGTGTCCATCAAGGATTGATAATTTTTTTTAGATCTAATTTAATTCAACACTTTATTTTAACCGATATAGGGATATTTTCTATGCATGTTATAATACTTAAAGATACATTATGTAAGATTTAGATAAAGAACTGGCCGTTCTTGCTATAATAGTTCAAAAATAGATGATGGCAAATGAATTAAAATTTCATTCAAATTACTTTATTCTGATCGATTTACGCTTTTACAAGATATGGCATTATTTGTTTATTATCGTTGCAACCTTACTAGTGATTTAGCCTCGATTTGCCATTTTTAAATTAAATTAAATTAATAAATAGGGACCTTGTTTTAATCTATTTAAATCTCCACCATGCGATGATCTAGAGAGTTGATTATAGGTTTGTCATGTGAATAAATGTCTAGATAATGGGCAGATTTAGCTCTTACATAATGCATCTTTAATATGTGTGAAATCCCATTATTTTGTGATATTTAATTTCCTGTGATCATTACAGTTATGTTTTGTTTATTTATTGAATTAATTTATTTATTTGTTATATATTGTTAATGAATGCAATGCTGTGATTCAACCACTCAATAAAATTTGTGATACATGTGTCGATGATATATTTATTCAGTGATTATTTTACAGTGTAATAGTCTACAGGTTCTGAAAAGATCTGGGGAGCTCTGGGGCCTCGAAACAATTGCTTTCCTTGGGCTTCGCGTAGCGAGGAAGGATACGTGGCATGACGAGATAACGAAATTAGCTTGACTCGCCTATAACGCACTCTGCTCATAGAATATTTTATTTCTCGGATGTAGGGGATCACGTGGCTAAGTGGGTAAGACGCTGGCTCGCTAGCCTGGAGGTCGGGAGTTCGATCCCTGCATTGGCCGAGAAAGTTCATCCCTATTTTTCCGGCGTGGTTTCCCCTTGTCAGTGATGCAGGACGGAGAGCCTGACAAGGACAGCTGTCTAGTCGTTCTGATGGGACGAAAAACCAAGTTCCCGTGTACACATTGGCGTGCACGTAAAGATCCCTTGGCAGTTGAAATTCGATATAAGAGTAGGCCGTATCGCCGTTGCCCGGGCAAAATTTCTCTCATAGCACAATGTATGGCGTATGCCCGTCTTCATTAGCCCAGGTTAGGAGCAGAACAGTAGGACGTTAAACATCATTTCATTTCATTTCTCGCATGTAGACCATTATATTTTTAGTGGATGCAAATTTTATTTATTCTGAAAAAATATGTCAATTTTTGTTTTCGGATTGGGCCCCTAGAACACGTCTAACGGCAGGTCGCTTACATTAAGACTCACTTCCAACTTTGGTAAGGTTAAAATATATTATTAATGATTGGGGCGAAATGAAATCGTGTTTGACGCCCCTTAATGAAGACGGGCATACACCATGCAGTGTGCTTTGAGGTGAACTATCAAAGGCTCTTTACTCAGAACCTTGTTTTTTGTCCTATCCGAATGACTATACGTTGTCCCTTGCCGAGTCCTTCGTCCTGCACCACTGACAAGTTGTTTGATGTAAGAGTCTATTGGAATGTAATTTTAATATATAGCCCTGATAATCGAGAAAATATGTATTATCAAACATAGCTGATAGAATTGATTTCAAGATTACTATACACCAATTAATTGGGGTTTTTTGTCGACAAGTGTATACATGGTAAGACGATAAAATATACATAGCATTCTTCTCATTCTTCTGGAATTGAAATATCTGAAGGTGATCAGATTTCACAATGAAATAAAATCGAGGTGTTTTTCTAATGGGTTAGAAAGTTCAAAGACATTTTTTGTTGAAATTATAAGGGATTCGTTTGTACTTCATGCTAAAGAAGTTATGATACACAGATTTAGCTCCTGTATAATGTATCTTTATGCACAAATCTGTGTGTTTACTAATTTTAGCTCCAGTTTTGGCTTGCATTCTCAACAGTCAAACATCTTATCACATATACATTGGCACTGCCCTCATCAAACAAAACAAATCAACATATCAAATCCAACAAAATGAACAGGTCTAGTAAATTTAAGGTCATATTGATCATATTTTCAACATAAATTGTTATGAATTATTGAAGGGTCTGTGTAAAATGAAGAATTATTGAAGGGTCTGTGTAAAATGAAAAATTATCAAGGTCTTATACAAAACTGATTTTCTTCATTAAAAAACAGAAGTTTATGGCTACTATCATCACGCTATATCTATGTAAGTCACGAATGTAGTTTTTAATCACACATATTATTAATATTCGCCGGAGGCTTTATACTGAATACCGAGAAAGGCACGGACAATTATGGTTATAGATACATTAGTTAAGAGTTTAATAAAGAGTTGGCCATTCTTGCTATAATTAAAAAAATATGTGATAAAAAGGCAAATATTGAAAATTTCAGTCAAATTACTTTATTCTGAACGGAGTTGTCACAGTTTGAAGATTAGACTAGAAATAAACATCAACTGTCTCCGCACCGTCTCCGAGAATTGCGATCGTTTGATTGACAGACGATAACTCCACCCACATATTCTCGATTATCAAATAACATTCTCACTGGTTACGGTACGCTCGATTGGCAGGCCTTTCATCGACAGTCTACGGTAGTGTCGTCAGTGACTAACGGTAAACGTTAACTTGGTCAGCAATTTATTAATTTAATTATTAAATGGACGACTGTTTAAATCCAAGCTATATCAATGCCATCCGATGGTCCACAGAGTTGATTTTGAGCTTGTTATGTAAATAAAGGTCTAATTCTCCCAACTGAGCACTTGGATATTAATCCTAGTTCAATGGAAAACACAATCCACTATATTTGAGCAGTGGCTTTATCTACAGAGTGAATGTTAGAAGGTGTGAAGGTAGATATAATTGAAATACATGTTGTGCGAATCCACGTCAACATAGACGTATAAGACATAATTTTGCATACCACCACGGTTCTTTATAATATGTTTTAACCTCCAAATAGGTTATTTGATGATACTGTGAATAATACATAAGCATGATAAGGCATAGGCGTACATGCTCAAGGAATGTTAGAGGGACAGAACCTGAATTGCACGAAAAGTATTCGGGTTACAGACGTCTGCGAGAGGCGAAAGAGCATTGGAAACATTTATAATTTTGACAGCCGCAAAAGCGTTTACCTGCTATTCCTGACTGACTCGAATTCCAATTAACCCATCAATCGTTTACAGTCAACGGAGACTGTACCGTCTGGAGCCAATTTTGAAAATTTAACTGCCGCAAAAGCTTTTCCTGCTATTCCAGCCCGTTACAACAGCAACTTAAACGTGGGCCAATGTAACCACCTTAGGGGACTGACCTGAATCCTTAACAACGAATCAATCGTCGTGTGGTATGGGGGCCTTGCCCTCCCCAAGGAAATTTTGAAAATTCGTTTTCTGCTACTCTAGCCACGTGTTTAACAACCTCAAAGTTATTCAACTTCCAAGTCCCACTCTATGCCCACCTCAATTATTTCAATCAGATTATTGCTACTGCATTCATAAATAATAAGCGATCCCCGAAAAAAAGTCGCACAAAGTAGCGTGGCTCGAGACAAAATCTCTTAATCCATAGCCAATTTAATACAAATTCGTGGTATTCAATTAATAGAAAAGCAAAAGTGGTGTTTTATTAGATTTCGGGCATTTTATTTTGTTAGCTAGATGAAATAATAACTGTTGTTTTCACTTTACCCGTCTGCCCGAAAAGTCAAATTGCCCGAATGTTAGGGGGCAGAGCCATCCCACCCACCACCACCCCCATTCTCTTACTGACAAGGCATGAACACATGTTTTTGACAGGATTTATACCCGTTTAAACACAAAGCACAGCTTAGGCATGGGCCTGAGGGGCCCAGGTTCAGGGCTCCGCGGTATTTGGGGCCCCGCGGTTCATGGCAAAAAGAGAAAAAATTCTAGCGGCGCGAGGGCGGAGACTCAGCTATCCTTCAACCTTCTCTGTGAAGTTCCACCCTGTGATCGGTCTAGGCTTGTCTAGGCTTCTAGACAGACCGTTTAATTGCGTGTTACGCATGCGTTCCATTCAAAAGGGGCCCCGCGATTGTAGTTAGGTCCAGGGCCCCGCTCGAGTTAAGCTGGGCTTTGTTTAAACATGCTATTTACAATATTTGATATCAAAGTTTGAAAGAGAGAGAGAGAAATGGGGTTTAACGTCCACTCGACACAAACTAGGTAATTTCGGGACTAACCTATGGTTTAATTTTATTTTAATAATTCCCTTGCGCGTAGGGGTCTTTAGCAGTGGGAGGAAACCGGAGGAACCGGAGAAAACCCCCACAAGGTTGGACAGGCGACCCTACTCCTCGACACGTACAACCGGGGATTCGAAACCACGCCAGTTGACTCAATACAGCGCGCGCGTGCTAACCATTCGGCCATCCACCCCCCCACCCCCTCAAGGTTTGAAATATCCCAAGATTTATATGTACAATCCAATAATAGAACGTTCTACCCTCGTCGAGCCAATGAACGTCGGACCAATGCGAGGACACCCGTGCCCTAGAATGACGAGACGTCATGGCAGATATAATGGAAATGTAATGAATAAATGAATGCAATGGGGTTTTACGTCCTATGTTTTTCCAACCGGGATAATGAAGACGAGCACACGCCATACGCCATACAGTGTAATGTGGGGGAAATTCTGCCATGAATTCCAACCGTCAATTGTTCCATTACGTACACGCCAACATGTACAAGGGACATTGGTTTTTCGTGCCATCCGAAGAACTATACGTTGTACCACATCACGCCTTTCGCTCTGCACCACTGACAAGGGGAAACGACGCTAGGAAATACAGGGGAAATTAATCGGCCAACACCGGGATTGAACCCTTGACCCACTGGTTATTGACCCAGCGCGCCTTACTCACTGAATCATCGGGGCCCCCTGACACGAAATGAAATGAAATTTAACGTCCTACTTGTTTTACACCAACCGGGCTAATGGAGGCGGCAAATTGAATTTTCATATAATATAAATTTCAAGAGTTACGGTTCTTGGAATTCATTCATAGACACCTACTTGCAATTTAATATGGAAGAAATTAAACAAAATAAAAAGGGAAATATTAACACCCCACTTTTCTTCAACACCAACCTTAGTAATGGAGACAGCAAATTGAAATTTCATTATGATATAAATTTCTTGGAATTCATTCATAAACGCCTGCTTGCAATGTAATATGGTAGAGACCCTCTATGTCAACACTCATTCAAACTCTAATCAATATTAGATAGCCAGACTACATAAAGCGAAAAAAAAATCTCAATTATTAACCTATTGTTTGCACCTTCCCCATTGCCAGCTTTTCAAATCAATAGCCTAATTATATAAAGCAAGGAAATGTTCGTGTGTGAATGGATGGCTCTCATAAGAATCTTCAATAAAATATTCAGAAGATTTTCAGACCTGATTAGAGAAAATAGACGAATGTGGTGTTAAATTGGGTCGTTAAATATTTTACAAAATTAAATTGTTCACGTAAGAAGAAAACATATGGGTTCTGAATTCAACGGGCTGTAATTCAAAGTATATAAAACATTTCGGGGCCTTAAAGGATAAG